AACTCCTACGGAAGAGTTCAAGAAAAGCATTATACAGTGTCAAAACAGGCTACAAATTATTTATAGATCAGCTATCATCCTCCTCTGGACCACATAAGAACTGGAATCTGGAAAACAAAAGTGCCCTTCAGGTTTCAAATATTCATGTATAAGGCATGGTGGGGTGGAGTAAAAACCAGAGACACACTCCTTTTTTTCCAGGAAACATAAAGACTCTGCACTTTATGCGATGCTGCTATAGAATCATGGCTGCATCTCTTCTTTCAGTGTTTCTCTGTGAGGGCCATCTGGCTTACAACCCATAATGGAATGAACCCCGAGGAAGTAAATAACAAACAGCTGAATCAGTTCGTCACTGATAGGATAACAGAAAAGTTAAAAAACTTACCACCAAACCTCAAACAGAGGTATATTGCCAAAATTTTCATCATTTTCAGACTCATATGGGACATGTATAATGCAAAGATCCATCAACAAGACATACTTGATCTCATACATTTGATAGAGAAAGCTGATTCATACATAGAACCTAGAACCCAGAACCCATTGACAAACTCTGAACAAGCAGCAGACAATGCTTGGGGAGACTCTCAACAGAACACAGATATCTATATTTATGTGGATGGCTCATATGACCCAGCAAGGGCAACAGCAGGGACAGGTATTGTCTTACTAAATAATTATCGATCTATGATTTCAACAGAGATGCTTCAAGTCTTCAAGCTGAAGGGTGGGTAATAATCCATGGACTGCAAAAAGCATCTCAATGAAAATCAAATCTGCAACTCTTTTGTCTGATACCCAAAGTATTGTAAATAGTATCAATGGAAAAGTAGAATGCACCGACTGGCAAGTGATACACCACAAGGAAGCAGCCACTAACCTTTTGACTTTTTTTAATATTATATATATCAAGTATGTTTGTAGAACTCTTAATACAATTGCCCATGAGCATATAATGCCGGTAAATATAATATAGTTATCCAAAATGAGTATCTCAGCATGTAGAGAAGGTAATGCAGTTTTGTTCTTTTGAAAAAAAAAGTCCATTAAGGGCATTTGATAAAAAAAATGACAGAAATCGTGACTAATGTGTTGCATGTAGAAAAAATTTTGAATCCCATTAAATTAGGTAGGGATGCAAAAATTAGCATTTTATACACTGCTTTGGCCTTGGGCCTTCAGGCAAGGCCCATTCGAATTTTGAAAAAAATCTCAACCCTAGCCTACTCAAAGTGTACATTTGCACCCACAGTTATAGCTACAATAACTTATTCAAAGTGGATGTTAAAGTACTTATCATCCATCTTAAAGTACTTGTACCAAAACTGATTCTTTTTCCTGTAAGTATATCAACTACAAAAACAAGGAGGTGTATCAATACTCTGAACCTTGCTTGTGACCTCCAATGAAACAAACTTTCTTTTTGATAAAATATTGGAAGGGGCTACACAAGACGGGGGGGTAGCACGTCCCCACAAATCACTAGACACAATTACACTAAGATCATAAGGAAGAGCTCTTGGGTTGAAGCTTGAAGAGGCATCACCAAACGTTTGCACTTCATGGGCTAACTAGTCCGAGGACGACCTTGTTATCTTCTTGATTCCTTCTTAGTGTAATTCAAAGCGCAGAGAAGCCTCTCTTAGTCCTCTGTATTTGCATCATATACAAGTCCAGGGTCAAGCGCCTTGTTAAGATTGAGGTGAACCGCTCCCGTGGCTAGAGGACTGGTGGGTTGCTCGCCATCTAAGAATTCTGTGATGGGTTTGAGAGTGGTATTAGTGAATCTTCTGTGGTCATCATGGCAGATCGAATAGCCGTTGGACTCCATTCAGGATGGACTGCTTTCAGAAGTGCTGCCATTCCCACCACATGAGGACAAGCAACGGAGGTTCCGTACATGATGTTGAAGTTGCTAAACAATTTTGTTGATCCTTCGTTCACCATAGGACCTATTGGAGGTCAAGATGTAAAAGAACAAAGGAGCCGGGGGCTATGAGGTCAGGCTTTAGAACATGGGGGCAAATTGCAGATGATCCTCTGGAGCTGTAAAAAGCAACTTTGGGTGCTGGCTTTGTTCCAATACGTGTATTAGGAAATTCAAGAGTTGCTCTTGTATCATGGCTTTCATTCAGTACTTACTTCAGGATTGTTCCAGTACGTGTATCAGGATTGTTTGACCCACGAGAATGGCTGGAAATGAGAAGATAGCTCCAGATACCTACGTTATGAACTTTGGGGATTTTTAGATCAATGTTGTGATCACCTATAAATTTACTGTTATAGATAATCGTGCATTCACACACAACAGTCTTGTGACCAAC